AAATAAGTTCGTAACGATTTTAGACGTAATAAACCAATAAAAAAATAATAGAGACCCAAATTTTGGGCCAGTGAATATGTAAATAGGGCGCTTAGAAGTGAAAATCTCGATGGGCTGATATACACCAATCCGGCCCTGATCAAGTACTTAGGATTCGTATTACAAAAGAATGGTGGTTTTTACGAAGATATTATGCGTTAAGATATTAAATGGAGAGAAGCATGAGGTGTTTTATGCGATAGAAGAATCCCAATCAAGTTAAAAGGTAAATTTTTTTATACGACAGTAGTAAGGCCGGCGATGACGCATGGATCGGAATGTTGGACTATAGATAAAACAATGGAGAGGAAAATTAGTGTCGCAGAGATGAGAATGTGAAGGTGGATGAGTGGAGTAATGAGAGATGACAGAACGATAATGAATGAGTTATAAATATAAATGAGTTATAATTATAGAAGTGGTATAGGAGTGGCTCCAATAGTTGACAAATTGCGTGAGAATAGGTTGAGATGGTTAGATCATGTTTTAAGAAGAGAAAAAACTGAGGCAATTTCAATGACAAAGAACATGAGTGTGGATGGAAAAAGAGGAAGAAGAAGACCGAAAAAGAGATAGTTTGAAGTTATAGTCTTATAGCTAGAGGGTGATACGAAAATGACTGGTGTTTGTGAGGAGGATTCTAAGGATAGTAGTAAGTGGAAATCGAGGACCAGGGTGGCCAACCCCAAATAGTTGGGAGAGAAAGAGAAGGAAAAAAAGAAGAAAAAGAATATGTATTTTACATTTATTAATTTAATAGAAAATATGTAATTGTAAAGAGTTAGATATAAGGCCTTTATTATAAATTTATAATCAATATTTACAAAATAACAATTCCTTAAATAGGCATGGCGTTTGTCAAAAAGTCAAGAAAATTGAACGAAATTTTACAAAACCAGAATATTTTAGATTTAATTTGTGTATTGACGCAGCACATATTATACAACATAAATATCAAAAATATTAAATATTTTTGTCTTACACAGTTACACGTTATAGTGTAGAAAAATGATTACATTTTGAGTTTGATTTAAGGTACCAAATTGAATCTATAGTTAATGCTTTGATGAATCTATAGAAAAATGTTATAGTTTTTTTTAAATAATCAGGAAAATAAATTAAGGAAAAATGTGAATATTTATGCAAAATTTTTTTAAATTATATATATTATGTTTCAATTTCCCACTGAATTGCTATAAGTCAAAAGATATAAAACATAAATTTAAAACAATTTTGAGATTCCCTCACATAAAAGGATGAATTGGAACAATATGATAAAAAAACTTGAAAATATCAATTTCTACATTTTATAATTAAAAAAGTATCTATGGAGTCCTCGGCCTTAAATTTATGTTTATACTTAATAATATTACACAGAAATAATTTAACGCACTATAAATAGTATGAACTATATGAAGATATTGTCATTTATTTCAATTTATAGCTATTTATCTCTCACGAGCATTGGAGCCCATTATCTTTTTGAAGAATAAATAAAAAAATTGTTAGTGTTTTAAATTTTAATATATTTTAATCGTTACCATTTTATCTGCAATCTGCATTGCTGCGATTCGACTACAGAAAATACGGATAGAGACAGTATAGTCGCATCCAGAGTGAAGTAGGTATCATGGCGTGGAACAATATGTATTAAAGCGTAGGCACCTAAGCCGTTAAAACGCGCTTGTGTGAGAACGTGACCAAAGGCCAAATCGGCGAAGGACACGTGTTTATAGTAGGATTACACAGTTACATCGGTAAACCTTTAACGCACTATGTATTATAGTATAACCCTTCACACTCACGACCCCCCCACCTAATGCATAATGGACAAGCTACTGAACATAAATTACATGACCTGAATGKAATTCAAATTCACAGCATAGCCAGCGTGAATAGGTAATGTATATCTAGCTATACCTACCTATAACAAACTAAAGTAATGTAATCACAAAAATGGATTTGCAATCATATTCAGAAGGTGTTCGAAAATCAATACCTACTAACAATGTAAATGGTTACATGAAGATTGTCTCTTAATTTATTAGTGGGAACTGGGAACCGGGATGAGAAAATTCACTCACGTTTGGCTGAGCAAAGCTAGTCGATTGTTTGCCGTACGATTGCAGTAGATACAATAAGTATTAGTATCCGGCTAACCATTAAATTTGAATTGTTCTTGTCTTTTGGTGATGTTCCATAAGGTAGTTACCGGACTATTTAACCCAAAAATTATTTAATAGATGATGAAGGTCACATAGCTCCGTCAGAAACTATTAGGTGTTTTGGTTGAACACAACTAAGAGCCAAAGTAGATTGTTTTCCGTAATAATATAACCGTACGGTATTCCAACTATACTCAAATATTGATACCTATACCAGCTATGTGGATATGTATAGCATGTTTACTGTTTAGTAAACAGTATAAATAGATACAATTTAATACATTTTCTATGGTACAATATATGTTTCAAATAGTTATTCGACCCTTAAAAACATCGCCCAAGAATTAAAAATACATAGCTTAACGTTAACAGTTTTTTTTTTTTTTTTTTTTTTTTTATTTAGCTTTCAGTAAAAACTATTATAGCTCGACAATTATATAAGTACAAACGTTAACAGTTAATCCATGATAAAATAAACTATATATATATATAAAATAATTTATTACAAGCATGCGGGAAATATATAAAATTCTAATTACTAATAATATTCAAATATGAATCATGGCTGGATTGTATGGTGCCATCTAGGTGTAAGCTACGTGTAATATTATATTTGGCGCCCAAAACTTTTGTCATAATTTCAGGATTTTAATACAACCACGATTTAAGATACCTACATTACTTAAGTTAATAATTAAATTACAAATGCATATGAGGTGCAATAATTTACTTTGGTCAACCAATTGGAAAACTTCATACGTGTGTTGTATACTTTAATACTTATTTTATATAAAACAAAAATTATGAACTATTAATATAAATTACGACTCTATTCAATACTTACAGTAGGCTTGGATAGAAGAGGAAGTTGTCCATTCCAAATGAAAAAGATACTTCAACATTTTGTATTTATTGACTATTGACTATGATTACTTCTTTTTTTGCTTCAATTCTTGGTCCAAACTACACAAGGTTGTCTATGATTACCTTACACCTCCATAGGCTATGTGGTCCTACGCGCCCTTTTTATTCACATTTCACACTACTTTCATGTCATTTTCTATTCTTTCTATATAGATTCTTCTTCAGTTTTCAACCTCATCTTCTTGATTTCTATACCTAAATTGAAGAGATCAGTACAACCAAGACGGTATATTGTGCCACAATAAACACGGGATTGGTGCTAGTATGAACTTATAATAAATGCTATTAGGTACTTATATATTATTTGTGTTAATTTTTATTTTGCCTTGATCCACACTAACCTCAATAGGTAACAAGTTAGGGGATTTTAAAAATGTATATTATGTACGGATTTATGGGTGTTAGGATGTATTATTATATATTTCATCCCCCCCCTAGCAAAATTCCTAAATACGCCACTGTATTGTGGCAGACGGCAGTGGTAAGCATTATTTATGGACCTTATACCTTAGTATACAATTTACGAAATATGGTGGTTTACGTATTATACTGGTATGTCACAATATTTTCGAATTTGACTTTTCTATGAAAATTATTTCATGGACGAAATATCTTTATATTGGTACAACTGCCATATAAATCCTATATTATCTTGAATCTTCGAAGTTATCATACATTTTCATTAATTTAGATCACGAACTAAGATAGAAAATATAAATATAGAATTATAGAATGGATTTGAATTTGTAAACCAATAAGCAAGCRATTAGACTCTCTTTCAGACATCAAACATTCTTAAAAATTCTGAATCTATTTCACGGATCGTACTCAAATTATACATTTCTTTTTTTTCCTTTTGATCCTAGCCTTTTACACAGGATATCAAACTTTTGTTTAAAAATCTCAATTTTTTTTCTCTTTCTGCTTCTTTATTTAATCTTTTGAACACTAACTACTCATTCCATCACCATGTGCCATTATTCTGTAGTATACTCCCTTTACTCTTACCAACAATATTAACTGCTACACTTTTAATAATATTTTCTGTCCCATCCCTAACTTAATTGATATTCCCCTCTATATTCCACACTGCTTCTTCTTTCTGTTTCCTTGAAAATCATTTTTTTATTTTTTCCTGTTAACTTCCACCACCTAACTACAATTTCTTCCAAATTCCTTCCTTTACACCTTAATTCCAAAACTATCAATCTACATAATGGAATTACATTACTATCTTTATACCTAAATATAAAACAATCTATTTGGGCCCTATTTCTAATTTTCAAAGTTCAATAATACTCCTCTGTATTTTAGTATTAGAATCTCATATCTGATTGTTGTATCTAGTTGAGTAATTAGTTGAAAAATATGTTACCACAAATTGGAAATCTTGAAGCATGTAAATAATCAAAAACAAATACTTTTTGATAGATTTTCTATCAAGCATCAAGAATAATGTATTTCCAAACATATACCACCAAAGAATAAACATAAACATAAATAAACATCTATGACTAAAAACCCCACCTTGTTTAGTTGATAGCAAACTCCTTTGTTCAAAATTATTAAAATTAAATTTCTTTAAAAATCTTTTTGTAGGAAACCAACTTACAAGATTGGTAGTGGTTCTAGTTAGAGTAGGCACTATAAAAACATACTATGATTGCATTGAATGTACTGATTGTACTGTATAAGAATAATAAAAGCTGTTAAAGATACACAATTGGATCAATCTACGAATCTACCTATGGAAAAAGTTGTGTTCCAATACAAAAAGATTTATTTTAATTTTCATCATAATACATCACAACTAAAAGTTTTGAATTAATGTTTTATTTTTTGTTAAATTGTATATACATTTGATCATTCAATGATATATAATTTTAAAAGAAAATAGTAAAATAGAGATTATATAATTTACATAGTGAATACTTAATCCTAAAATGTATCTATAGTTATTATGTCAATGGAATATAATACGATTAGGTTTTTTAATTTTTGATTCTGGATGTGGTACACGCAGTTGTCTAGGAACAAACTTCAAATTATTTGAATCTAATGGTGTTAAATCTTTGATATTCTGAAATACAATAATACAAATATGAATAGTTTTAATTAATCATATAAAAACTAATGTGGTTGGATGACATTAAGTTTCCATGATAAGTAAAATACTATAATTAAAAATATGACATATTTAATTATTCAAGGACTAACCCAAAACAACTTTTTTTAGTCTTACTATATACAAATAAATTATGTGAGTATTAACATTAATCTTCTTGTTCTTTATTAAAAAGGTGAACAAGTCAGTAGTTGTTGAATATGTCGTTGAAATGGATATTTTATAGTTGAAACAATGATAAATTATTGCATACAAAAAATAATTCTGATTTCTGAGCAGAAACTTTGTGTCCTTTGATAAATAATACTTGCATTAATAATTAAATTTAATAACTAAAAAAAATTCAATAAAAATTGAAAATATCTCATGAAAATTGTTTATGAATATCTAGCTTAAAATAATTTGTGAATTTTCGTGATTTTTACTTATTTTGACAACATATTATGTAAAAATCACGAAAATCATGAAAATTGTTTATGAATATCTAATTGAAAAATGCTAATATAAAATATAATTGATGAACATTTCAAGTGTCATACCACTAATGATGCGCGGAAAGTTATGTTTGGTACGTTAAGAAAATCTTACTTCATGAAAAAAACTGGAATTGATCATTATTCGTATAAATTATTACTTGCTTTACTTTATATAAATAATTTTAAATACTTAGTTTTCCATTAATTGTGCATTAAGCGCTTAAAAAATCATAATTTTGCAGTTCCTGAGGAAATAATATTACAAACATGAAAAATATTGTTTACATTTTTGGTGAGCAACAAAAGCATTATTTGATTAAGTGGTACACGAAAATGTTCAAGCTGTGTAGGTGGTACGCATACATAAAAAGGTTGAGAACTGCTGCATTAATGAATAACACCAAAAATAAATAAATAGTATTTTGCTTAAAACATTATATATTTTTCCCCAGCGTTTTCAAAAACAACTAGTAATATTAAATGTTGGCTTTGAATGCAGCAACCACTCTCTATTCATAATAAGAACAGTAACGGGCAACCACCAGTTTTTGGACTACATGATCAGATATATTGTCAAACGTTTTCCATATCAATTCGATACACAAGACCAGTGTTTTCAAACAAAGACGTGCCATGCACACAAGTAGGCTATACAATATTGTTTTTATTTTGAATAGAGTACCAGAAAAGATGATGATATTGGAAATCAGAGCATTTTTTGTAACTCAAATGTTGGTGGGAAACAGAAAAAAAACACATAATTGTAAAAAAAATATATTCATTGTTACACTCAGAACCTAAAACATGTGCTGGTACCACAACTGTTAGTAACCAAGAACAGATATTCAAATTATATTTGCATTGAACTACAAGAATAATATGAGTGGTACTGAATGTAGTGGTTCATTTAAATTATAGTACATAATTTATTTACTCACGGATTTATTTTTTATTGTTTCTTTTTTAGTGAATAAAGGTTCAGGTTTTGGTATGATATACGAACACTTAAGACCTCCTTCGAGCCAACGATTTTGTTTTTGAGGATTAGAATTATAGCTTTGCAACTAAAAATAAGAAAACAAAAAGTTCAAACTATTATATAAATTTACTAGTATACTACTAAAAATAATAATTAAATACCATTGAATCGTGAGATGAGCTAGAAAKATCATGTTGTAATAAAGCAGATGATTCTCTGAAAAAATATAAAATATAATTTTTATACAAATAGATTAAGTATTTTGTTACTGCAATTAGATACATGCACATTTTATTTGAATGAGTTCCATTCAAATACATATTTCATATAGAATTTAGTAGAATATGTTATAAGTATAAGCTTATTAAAAAAATTTTGAAATTATATTTTAATTGGTTGGAATCAAATAAAAATTAAGTATTACTTCTTAAAGGCATGATTTAAACCAATTTTATTAATATGTTTTTTGACTTCTATTATTCTCATTTGTAGTTTTGATCTAGTTTGCTCAATGGACTCAAGTTCAGGTGCATAACAAACATGTAAAATACCACCAAAGAAATTTTTTGTGTCTATTTGTTTTTTTGCAAATCTAAAATATTAACAGGTTAAAATTTAATATAAATATATAATAAATGATGAAATTTAACTCCAATTTTAATTGACCTGGCAGATTGTATCTGGATAAATATCACATGAAAACTATGAGTAAATTCTTCTTGGTCTTCAAATTGAACTTGTCGAATACTTAATACATTACCATAACGCTTGCATAACTTTTCCACTTCATCATGTAAATTGACAGATGGCACACCTCTGATCAACAAATGTTGCGACTCATCATTCACCGTGTAAACCTTATTATTATAGTCAAATTCAAGTTTAAGGAAATTATTTACCTATTTAAATGTTAATTTTTTACAAATAGTATATGCAATGACCTATACTGTACCGTTATGTTTTTCATAACATTCAGAAAAGCTCTGAATCATTTTAAATTTATGTTATTTATTTTAATATAATAGGTAAAATAGAAATATTTGTATTAAAACCTACTGCAATAATTTATACATAAACAAAATTGGAACACATCACTTCTTAAGAATAATCTATAAATATTGACCAATTAATCAAGGATACATTGTTTTCGGTCTGACATCAATGTTTGTACCTTAATTGCTGTAAGTTTTCGACCTTGTCTATATTTTGGTCTATTTTCGCAGTAACTTAACATGTTGTGATGAGGATATGACTTTAAAATTGGAACTTCTAAATTCTGTTTAGACATTGTAGAAATGAAATTAATTAATTATGTTGTAAATAAAATTCCATATTTTAAACAAATAAATGGACAATACGTATCATTACAACTAAGTCCACATATAAGAGTATAAAATTAAAAGTACGAATTTTGGTTTAAGCAAGCAAAAATAAAATGTAGGTACACATTTTGTAAAGATACCGATAATACTATCATAGAATATTAGGTATAGACACTGGAAGCGACACTCTCGGACGGGCGGCGGCCAAATATGATAATGAGTCTAGAATATTTCATGACCTTGAAGTTGTTCCTAACTTCTTATCTTACCGCCAAGCTTACAACATCATTCCTGTTGATAATTTATTGTAACTTGTAAGACAAGTCATTATTGTTGATCATTGTGCGACAAGAGTATTATACATATTTTATAAAATATAAATTATAATATTAAGTCAATTTTTTTTTAATGATGTACGATACGAGTATATAGGACGGATCACTGATAGTATATTTTTTAAAGATTTTTGTTCAATAATATTGTAAGCAGTTTTTTTTTCAGATATTAATTTATTAGTATACCTAGCTATAATAGTACTTATTTAATATACCGGGTGATTTTTTTGTCATTGAACGCCATAGGCGTACCGCGTGCGCACGGGTGCAGCGAATGCTGCTTTCGTTGCATCTGACAATTTATTTATAGGACTGGTAAAAAAATGTATGGAATGATATTATATAGAACGAATAATTTTAAACATATTATTGAGTTAATAATTTTAGAATATAAAATATGTTCAGTGTTAATAATATATAATAATATTATTTTATCAATACAAGTCTAAAAATAGATGGGTAATATTGGAGAAATTCGACGTACACTAGATTACAAACACAGACACAACAACAGACAACAATGACAATGCGCGTTGACCATCCAACCGGCAACCAGTGCAGCAAATTCGGTGGGGGGGAGGGGGTTATATTAAGGAATAAGTGGGCTGCTTATTGTTTAATAAATAGGACCGGTTAAAAATGTATGCGCACCTGGGACCCGGCACAAAATCCTGCGCACGCCTATGTTGAACACTCATTATTTCAAAAATTACTTTTGTTTTTGAAAATATTTTCTTACATAGTTTCAAGTTGTTCAAAAACCAACGTTTTTATTAAAAAAATGTATTTTAAAATATTTTTATCCTTGTAATTTTTAAGTTTTTTACTTTTTCGAATGACAACATAGTGTTTTAATTTCATATTCCAAAGCAAAATATTTTTCTAAGTATTTTGATTCATAAAAATCGAATTTAGGACGAGTAGTTTATGAGTTATAACTTTATAAGTATTTAAAGTTTTGATTGGCAGAGTGGAGTGTAACGGGGTTACCCCGCAAAATGTCCACTACTCTGCTTGATAAACTTTAAATACTTATAACTCATAAACTACTCGTCCTAAATTCGATTTTTATGAATCAATATACTTAGAAAAATATTCTGCTTTGGAATATGAAATTAAAACATTATGTTGTCATTCGAAAAAGTAAAAAACTTTAAAAAATACAAGGATAAAAAATATMATTTTTCAATAAAAACGTAGGTTTTCTAACAACTTGAAACTATGTAAAATAATATTTTCAAAAACATTAATAATTTTTGAAATAATGAGTGTTCAATGATAAAAGAATCACCCGGTATACAATTAAATATTAATTATCTACCTTCTATAAAGGTATAAGACAAGCCTGTGTTAAAACTTATAGAACATTAATGTTCTATGGTTGAAGGTAGAGAATTACAATTTACTTAAATACTAAATATACAAACTAGATAATGAAATAATATAACAACACATTTTAACATAATAGTATAACCAGTTAATAACAGTACTTTTTACATTATTTTATTTACATATCATGTTCTTATACAAAATTACTAAATACATTATCAAATAAAAACATAAAAACATAACAATATTTATAAATTTCATTAAATTTGCAATTTTCTGTTTTTTTTTGTGTGAGGAATTTGCAAATTTCGATTGGTTCTGGTTAACGAAGTATGAATTCTAAATCTTATAAATAAATTTAACAAATATTCATGAGGGAATTGTTCACAGGGATGTTCAAAATACACATTTATAAATATAATATAAATACGTTTATATAATATGTATGGAAGCATCATACAATAATATAGGTAGATAGTTATTATAACATTATTATATAGTTATTTATTATATATGGTTATTTATTCTAAGGTAGTATGCAGTGACCTTTTCTTTTAAACTTTGACGGGCTGGTCTCGAGCGGTCGCCGGTCCGTTTCAGCGATAAAAGCGTTCCTAACATCATGCCTTACCGTCAAGCTTACAACAYCAATCAGTCCGCCACGAAATAAAAACAATTAAAGTGGAGGGGCGAGTGCGAGTCGCGAGTGTCGCTTCCATAATATTCTATTTAATCTATTTCTATGATAGCCGATTGCCGATAGGTAATATTAAAGTTCTGCAATATCACAGAACAATATCATGTGAGATACTAAGAATTAAGATGTAATATCATTATAATGCAAGCACGGTCTTAGATTCAAATTCAGCTCTAAAGAATAAAGATATATTTATCAATATATCTTAAACATACATATAGATCTTGGTTTGATTATAGTCCCTAAAAAAACAAAATAAAACTTCCATAATATTACTGGAAATAAAAGAAAAACTGATACCACATTGATAGTCACGATTGGAGGTACGGACGGTACGGTTTATAATTTATGATAATATGATAGTTAAGGGTTTAGTTCAGGGATGGCAAATTCGCAGCTCGCGAAAAATTAAATTACCCATTAGCAGTTTGTTCTTTGCCATTAGTTATTATCATAACAATATAGTTGAAATATTATATTTTATTTTTAAAAATAAATATTATATGACAATAATATTTCTCCTTATGGTACGCAGGTAAAACATTGGCACGTTACGGTAGAACAATTTTCCGTCTCTGGTTTAAATAGACCTTAATTGTATTAGCCATAGGCGCAAATAGGGGGGGGGGCTTAGGGGGTATTAGCACCCCCAATTTTAAAGTTAGCACTCTCAAATAATGATCGTGCTTATGTATCAAAAACTTCTTTCAAAAAAAAAAAAAACTAAAATGACAAAATGCATAGCATAAGCACCCTTAGTTTTTTGTATTGAAATTTTGCTCTTATGGTATTAGCCGTGGCTAAAGATATCGTGTTAATAGTGTTAATACTTCAGTGGTGTCATACTATTAAAATAAAATAAAATAATAATTTTCCATTCGTAATATAAATAATTTAATTACCAAATATATCTCATTAGCCATGCAGCCCGTGCTGGATAAAATGTAATTACGAAAATACGAAACGAAATGTTTGTACTTAGTTGGAGGTTTGGCTGTTGACGTTGTTGTTGTTACTTTGTTTATGATTAGTAAATTATTATTTGCCTAATTTGTCTGCTGATTGACTCATTAGGGTCGGAGGTATTAAATATCATCAGCGACAAAGAGTCAAAGCCAATACCACAATAACCACATGCGTCATGCGCCATTATCGCGGGAAACACTGGTAGTTTTAGTAGATAAACAAAATACAAATGACTATAACCTTAAAATTTTAAAACATTCAGTATTTAGTATTTTACTATTTTCAAACATGACTTGTTTGGATTTCCATTCCTTATTGTTCCATCAAAATTCTCTATTTACAGTGACCAAACAGTTAAACAGTTAGGAAATTGATATGTAGCGCCAAWTCACGTTAAATTATTTGCGACTTCGGTGACTAGTCCCTGCGAGTGAGTCTGTGTCTATTTATTATCAATTATCAAAATATCAATCGCCATTCGTCAGAATCATAAGATGACGTTATGATCACAGGACTAAGATATCTAGGCAGTACATTAAACTGAAATATTATTTTATCAATTGTCCTGTAACTGTAAGAAACAAAACTGTAGTAAATATGGCTGACACTAGATTTAACGGTTTGTACAAATTTACATTAATACTTACTTGTTATTAATATGAAATTTGGAATTTTTTAGATGCAGTTACAAAACTAAATACACCTTTCGATGTGTTTAAATTGGATTGTAGGAATATGATATCAAATGCTGAAGCATTTAAATTACGTGAGGCATTACTAACAATGACATTTAAAAAAAAATCATGTGATCTATATTCGTTTTCTCAATCGCCGGATTTCATTCGCTCTACAAAACTTAAAAAACCTAAGGAAGTGGAACAGTTTTTAGTTTTGCTAAAAATAATAAAGCAAAATATAGCTGCTTACTTAGGAAAAACGTTTAATAATACAATTAGTGCATCTTGTTCTAAATATGACCATGGAGGTAGGTTATTTATTTTTAATTTTAATACAGAATTGAGAATAGTATGTAAATTTCTAATTGTATTGTCTGTATATTTAGATTACTTACTTTGTCATGATGATCGTGTTGACGATAGGTCTGTAGCATTCATTTACTATTTAAATTATGATTGGCTTCCTGAATGGGGTGGCACATTAGATATTTATTCGGTTGACGATCAGAATTGTGCCACAGAAATCGTAGAAAATATTAATCCAGAATTCAATTCCATGATTTTTTTCCCAGTTGAAAAATATACATATCACCAGGTGCGTCATTAAGATTTTAATTTCAATCAAGAGAATGTCAGTACAATATTTGTTTCCTCTCCGTTCTATTGTACTGAAAGTGTTTTCACCTAATATCGTTTTTTTTTTTTTATGAATTTTGAGGATTGACATATTGGTTTTATATTTTATAATTTTATAACCTAAAATAAAATAAAAAAATTGTATATTTAAATAGATTTAGACGATATTTAGACAAATCAATTTGTCATATTTACTAAGATATTAATTTWTGTAATGGATAATTTTAGTCTAAGATTACAAAAAATAAAAATAAAATAATTCTGCTTAAGTAATCGTATTTTTGTCTGTTGTGTGTGGGCCAGGGAAAGGAAAGAAATAGTGTGCTGATCAGGTTGACATATTCTTAACTACTATAACAATCTAACTTTTGTTTTATGCTATAGGTGGCCGAAAATGTATCTACCTTTGCTCGTATTTCCATTAATGGTTGGTTCCACTGTGATGAACTCTCTTGGGAAATGTSTAATCAGCCAGTCAAGTTTCATTCTCCAATGTTTACACCACATTCAGTTTCTTTCCTTAGGGTATTTATATAAGATTTGATGTATAATATTAATAATTATTTATTTAGTTTCTTATTTATTAAGTTTCCTGAAATTTTTAAACTTAAACATTTATATTTGAGACTTAAAGAAAAATATCAGAGTGGAGGCCTAATTRGGTAGAAACCAGGGATGGAAAACGTTTTTAAAAAACGTTATTAACCGAAAAAAATGAAAAACGAAAACAATTAATAAAACGAAAACAAAACAAAACAAATAATGAAAACAATTAATAAAACGAAACAAAACAAAAACGTAAAACGAAATTAAATTRTAGTATTATACATTATTTAATTATTTAATTATTTTTGAGTTCTGGATTTATTTTATTATTTACTCTAGAAACCTGAAATAGTGTTTCATTATAGTCTTTAAGACTTAAGTCATTACTTTTTGGTTTTTAATCTTTACCAATGCACTTTTAAAATTTAAAAATATTTTAATTTTAAATCAGAAATTTTAATTTTCTTAAATGTATATAAATTATAATTTTGATTTAAAATTTAAATATTAAGTATAATTAATTTGAATTTTTAACTTTTAAGTGCATTTCTAATTGCGCGTTTCAATTATAACTTGAAAGTTATAACTCAGTTATAAGTTATAAGAATATATTATATAAAAAAAAGATTATCAAAAACGTTATTTGGAAACAATAAGAAAATAACGTTTTTAAAAACGTTAATCAAAAACGATATTGAAAAATAACGTTAATCTAAAACGTAATAAACAAAAAAGTTTAAAAACGTTAAACAAAAATGACATTTTTTAAATCAATAAACAAAAACGAAAAAATTAAAAACGTTTTCCATCCCGGGTAGAAACCTTCCAACTTGGGAGAGTTTATATTTAATGGGAGATAATATGAAAKTATTATAGAATTTTCTTCATTGAATTGTTCGTTGTATTTGATATCTGAATTGTGTTCTTGTTAATTATAAGTTATAAAAGTATCTGTACTTGTATTAATCATGGGCATGATTTTGATGTTTATTTAAGTGGACACCATATCTGCATGTGTTTCCATCTTGACAAATATAGTCAATTGTTTGTACCTTTTATAATACCCATGACCAGGTGCCTGATTGGGCCGACGGGACAGGCTACTGGGTCGTACTTTTTTTTTTTTAATAACAGATTTTAATATAATAATTATAAACAGTGCTCGTAAGTTCATGCACTGAAAAATGCATAAATAAGCATGMATTCATGCTCTAAAAATTAGCAAAATATGCACTTAAAAGTTCGAAAATATGCATTTATATGCCCTAAAATTATTAAATAATGAACTGAAAATATGCATTATGTAAAAAACCATGAGCAAATTTTAAAATAATAAGAATATATCCATTAATTTT